CCATAACCAACACAAGATTCCAGCATAAAAACATACATAGATACACATGGGAAGAACCTAGTAGAAACCAAAGATCAATTATTGATTTAATAATAGTAAAAAAAGCCAGCAAAACAATAATACAAGATGTAAGAGTATACAGACAAGCAGAATGTGCAAGTAACCACCGATTAGTGCTAGGAAAATTCATATACACGGGAAGACGGCAAAAAGACAATATCCAGAAAGATGAGGAGATGCAAAAAATCGCAAATACGAGGTATAAAGTAAAACTTCTACAACAATTTAGTACTCGAATACTATATCAGAATAGGCTACAGAATATGCTACAGATGAACGAAGAATGGACCGTAACAGAAATATATCAACACCTAAAGGAAAAAATAAACAAAGCGACAAACGAAGTGCTGCGTATTGAATAACATAAGAATACATATTTGGAGAAATACAGTGACGACTTAGAAGAGATGATTAAAAGAAAAAAAGTGCATTTCATAAATGGCTAAGCGACAGAACCCCAGGAACACGGGGAGAATATGTTACCCTCAGACAAAAAGTTAAACAAAGAATAAAGCTCGAGAAAAACAAATACTGGGAGAAAATGTGCAGAGATATAGACAACACAATAGGGTATAACAGATCAATGGAAGCATGGAAAAAAATAAAAAACATTAGAAGTAATAAACGAAGTAAAAATACCATACAGATAATTACATCAAAAGAGTTGACAAAGCATTACACAAAATTATTGCGGGAGAATAGGCCGGAGTATATCTTATACGACCCTGTGACAATAATAACTGAGGAAGCAGAAATCACAGAGGAAGATATAAATAAAGCAATAAAGAAATTCAAAAACAATAAAGCACCAGGACTAGGAAACGTAAAAATGGAACTGCTGAAATATGGAGGCGCAAGGATAGTATCCTTTATACGAATGTTATTCAATAAAATCGAAGCAGGAGAGAAGATTCGCGATGAATGGAATTTATCATACATGTCCTCCATTTTCAACAAAGGTGACAAAAGGTCACCAAATAACTACAGAGGGATCAGTGTAATGCCTTCAATAGAAAGAATCTTTTCATCAGTTATAAAAGAAAAACTAGAACAACACATGGACCATTATAGCGAAGAACAAGCCGGATTCCGGAAAGCCAGATCATGTTTAGATAATATATTTATTATGAGACAGGTGATTGAAAAGAACAAAAAAAAACATTAAAACACATATGACCTTTATCCACTTAGAGAAAACATATGATAGCTTGCCCAGGAAACAACTATGGGAAGCAATGAGAAGAATACGCGTTAGAGAGAAATGGGTGAATATAACAGAAAGACTGTATAAAGAAACACAAGTGCAAATAAAGTTAGGTAATGAAATAACAAAAACAATCTCTTGGGATGTGGTCTCTCACCTACACTTTTTAACATATAGATCAGGCTTTAAAAAGATGGTATAGAAAATGCGGAACAATGGGCATACAAGACAAGTACAAGAGAATATATTACATTCACTAATTTTCGCAGATTATCAAGTCATTTTTGCACAAGACAGGGAGGATATGAAATATATGATAAGGAAATTAAAGGAAGAATATAAACTTTGGGGACTCAAGATAAATATGTGCAAGACCGAATATTTATGTATTAGACCCGAGGTTGCAGATTTAAACTTAAGTTTAGAAGAAGAGACTATTAAAAGTTGTAAGACTTTTAAGTATTTAGGATCAATGATTAGCCGAGATGGTACTTGTATAAAAGATATAGAAATGAAAATAGCACGAGGAAAACAAGCCACAAGAGCACTTCATGGAGTGATATGGAACAATACTCTAACCAAAGAAAACAAAAAGAGGATTTTTCAAAGCATAGTGATGAATATTACCCTATATGGAGCGATAATATGGCCAATGACAACAACAATACGAAATAAAATAAGAACAGTTAAACTGGACTTTATGAGAAGATGTCTACAAATCACAAAAGAAGATAAAATAAGAACGGAGGAAATATGCAACAGAATGGAAGTAGAATGCTCAATTACAAAAAAGTTGGAAAACAGAGCCCTGGAGTGGTACGGCCATGTACAAAGAATGTCAGAGCGTAGGTGGCCGAAAAGAATATTAAACTGGGATCCACCGGGAAGAAGACGGAGAGGAAGACCTGCTACAAGATGGAAAACATACGTCGGAAACGCTATGATAGCTAGAGACCTCAGAGAATGGGACTGGGAGAATAGAGTGCTGTGGAGGACGAAAACGGCGAACTTATAATAAGAAAAGCCGAAGAAGAAGAAGAAGAAAGTTTCTTCTTCCAAGTCTCTTCCTCATTAACAACATCAAATTCGATATCAGAGTCGTCAAGAAGACCAACCACCTCTTCCTGGGACAGATCTTGCAATTTCCGAAAAGAAAGTTTGGTTTTGGTAGTTTTGAACACACGATCCATCTAAAATAAAAAAGTAAATTGTACTTTTGTATTTTATTGACAGAAACAAAATTTCCCAATGATGCCATTTGGAGACCTCCACAATGTCCCAATGATTCCATTTGGATTCATTGATATTTATAATGTTTACATAAACAATCTTGTAAATATCAGCAAACTATAATGCAAATTATCAAATAAAAACAATGTAAAAAGCAAAATAAATGATATCGTGCAATTACTGGTTGAATTACTCACCTTAAATTTATAGTGAATTAATGATCGTTGTTTCACTACGAAGTTTAACATTGATATGTGACTAACGCTTACTGATAGAATTGTCAAATACATTAATTCAGCGTCATCTAGTAAAAAGGTGAGGCAACGCAATACCGTTTGCCAAATCGACATAAGTAGTTTTCTTTGGCTAAAGTAGAAAACATTGCTATGATCCCAAATGGGATCATCTGACTGGAAAGGGTTAAGTAAAGCAAACGACACAAAATACTTAGGTATCCATCTTGACAAACAACTAACCTGGCAAAAGCACATTTTTACCAAAAGAAAACAACGGTATTAAATTTAGACATATGTATTGGTTGAATGGTCGAAACTCTAAACCAACATTGGATAACAAACTGCTTATATACAAGGCGATCCTTAAACCCATAAGGACATATGGTATTCAGTTATGGGGCAGCGCTAGCAATTCTAATCTCGCAATCCTATAACTCTTCCAGAATAATGTGTTCTCCATAATATGTTACATTCTCCTCTATAGAAAAAAATCTGGAAGTGCCTTCGTAAAAAGAAGTTGTAATAAGTTACAGTGTCAAATATGCTGAACGGATAAAAGTGCATCCCAATGTACTCGCGAAGCGGTTATTCGATGACAATAATGAAGTGCACAGGCTGCAACATTTTAAACCAAATGATCTACCAAACAGATTTAATGTTTAAGCAGAACCAACTGTATTTTAAATTCTACCTAAATTATGTGATATGTAGTTGTAATTGTGTTTTATTATTTTATTGCTGTTAACGTACATATTTTTCAATAAACCATTTATAATAAATTAGTAACATTTACAGTTGCTGAATAAACAAAAGGAATCCTCCACTTGAAAAGACTCCTCCTAAAGTTTCCTGTTTTGGTGCCCAACCTTGACCTCTAAAACTTCTTTAAAGAATTACCTTACATTGTTATTCTTCCGATATTCTTCTATATCTCTAATTAGTTGTTTCTGGTATTCCTTATTTTTCTTTTTATTAGTTTTCTTGTCTCAGTTCTTGTTCTCAGTTTCTTTTTGTTAAAATCTTTCAGTGTCGTTGTCAGATGGATTTTGGAGAATGTTCCTTCTAGCCATTTTTTTCTATGGATTTCAGTCGTCATTGAACCATTTTCTGCTGTCCCTTTTTATACCGTAGTATTGCATCTGTAATGCTTAAGAAAATTAATTTTATATTCTCCCACGTAGAGTTTATCTTAAAATATTCTTCTGTCTATGTTAGTGTTAGTTGTATAGTATTTTGAAATTTCTCCTCTGTATCATTATCCTCCAGAACTTTTATTCCATACTGCTATTGATGTATTCCTGTGGGTTTTTGGACGTTATTCTTGTTCTCAGCTCTGTGACGCAATCATCAAAGGCCAAACAGAATAAACCTTTTAAAAATATTTCATTCGAGATCCAGTTCAAAAGTTCTCTGCACCGTAAGCGATTACTTCGATGCCTATTAGTGAGAAATAGGTCGAACTGAGAATGGTATGAAGTAACTCCAAAACTTCTTATTCGGCTATAAATCGTTTAACAGGCTTTTCATGCACTTCAAACCACTTCCTACAGTTGGCTTTGTAGAGGTGAAGTAGCCTTATACAGACAAAAGCCTTACAAGGCGATCTTGGTCTGTGGCCGTTCTTCCTACACACCCAGTACCTTTCTGAAAATAAAAAATTTCCATGCTCTTGGTACCAATATTTTCATACGGCATTAGGTCGCGGGTCATTATTCTTGTATTACTCACTTAAGTTATAAATTCCGTACAAAAATATTTGGCTAAAAGAAGAAGAAAATATTTGAGTAATAAGTATCTTACCTGTGACTGCCAGGTACCTATCGATAAGAATTGACGCCATAGTTTCTAAAGTTGCTATTACATATTATAGTATTGTTTTATATGTGATTTATGCTAGGTCAAATGTCCCATTAAAACTCTCCCATGGGATTGTAGACTATATTCTGTATAGTGTTTTGAAGGTTGGGCCATTGACGGACTGTTATATTAACTCCCTGTACACGGCCTATAACATTTTATACGTTTTTCGGGATTAAATATATTACTTTTTATCCTTATATAGAAAGAAACGTTAAATTTAGAATTTAAATTAAATTAAATTAATTAATTAAATTATTTAAATTAATTAAATTAAATTTAAATTTAAATTTAAAATTCGATAAGCGTTACATAAACAAAAGCTTTATTTTCACAGTAAAGCAATGAAGTGAAAATAATTTTTTGGCATAGTTCATTTTTGAAGCACTTCCTTTATTTATTTAAATTTTTAGGTCCAGTTCCTTAAGAGTCTATAATTGTACAAGCGGACAAATGAATCCAATTACATGGCGCCAATTTAAAAACCTAACCTTAAAATACTCTAGGGAATCACCGAGCAAATATGTGACATGGTACCCAGGATTCACGTACAGAACTAGTAGATCATTGCACAAAATTTTCGCTACAATGTACCATATAGTACCCTCAGTCGTATTGGATGCATATTTACTATCTACAAGGAAAAAACCCATGTAAGTATGGGGTTTTTGATATAAATTCTTTTCTAGATACCAACGACATTGACCTAAAACGGTTGTAACGACTAACTCATCCATTGCACATTGAAACCCCTCAGGGGTGTTGTTCGGCATAAACTAATTAAATTTGAGAAATCGGGAATTATTAATAAGATAATTTTTCAACACATATCTTTATTAATTTATACGTTAATAAAATAACAAATCAAAATGTAATAACAATTAAAAATTGAGGTCCTAGCAACAGAGAATTAAGCATCTACATACAAAATTCAAAGAAAGAAAGAAACTTAGCTTAACTCTATAAGAAATCCTGCTGTTGCTCTCTTTTCAACTCGAATCATAAACTATTTGCAAAAACCATGGCTCTAAACCAAAACCATATGGATTTTCTTGAATTAAAAACCATGTGGATTTTCAAAACAAAACCAAAGTAGATTTTCTTATACCAAAAACAAGGTCAACGTGAATTTTCTTTAACCATAACCAAGGTCAACGTAGATTTTCTTTAACCATAACCAAGGTCAACGTGAATTTTCTTTAACCAAAACGAAGGTGGCTAGAAAAACAAAAGCGGATATAAAATTCGTCATGGCACGAGTTTTGTCCAACAACAGAAGAATTCTGGCAAGCGGAAAGCTCTTCTCTCTAAGAACTGCATACCGATCCAGAACTCTCTAATGTTGCCAAAACTCACAAATTAATAATTGCAATTGCTAGATTAATTATTAAATGAAAAACGAAAAAGACAAAGTTGTGCGATTAATACCAGTGATTTATATTGAATTATTATTATTACAGCAAAGGTAAAAAGAAAATAAAAATTGTAAGCACAATTGTAAATTGTAAGTTTTAAGTACTAGCGTACACAAAATTATACGAAAAACTAACAGGGCTAATGTTCTTGATTAATCTATGAGAATATGTTGTCGTTGTAAAAAGAACCAGTATTAAACTTACCCAGACTGTTGGAAGTTTCTGACCACGAAGATTTATTTTTGAGTACCTTGTCGTTTGCTGGTTTATTTTAAAAATAAATTAAATAGGATCGGATTGATAGAAGTAAATTATTTAGTGGTGGGTTTTCTGTTTCTTGTATGATAAAGTAAGCGAAGGTATAACTACGAGAGGAATTAAGAAATTAATCGGTGAATTTATTTGTAATAGGAACATATTGAAATGAAATATAGGAACACAAACAGAGGAAAAAGAAGTTATTATCAACGAAAATCAAATAGTATGAGCAGAAAATAATGGAAAGTACTTTAAAATTAATAAGAACAAAAATGTAACGTTTTAAACGTTACACGGTTCTGAAACTTATTTGTTTCACGGACTTTTTCTTTCGTTGTTTTAGGATGCTAAAAATAAGTAGCAAATTTTACGACGCCTTGTTAGCAGGCAGTTTTTTCTCGACGAACGAATGGAACTTCCAAGTCTCCACAATGAAGAGTTTAACCAAGGCTGTAAATGGTACAACAGATGGTGCAAATTTTGAGACTCACTTTAAGACAGAAAATGGTTTTAACTGGGAGGAGTATGTCAGATGTTTCAACCTAGGAGTTCGACAGTACATATTGAAAGACAAACCGACCAGTTTAGTAGAAGCTAGAAAGAAATTAAAAAGGTAAGATGATTATTTCATAAAAATTTTATTGTATATTGCCGGGTAAAAAATTAAATATAAAAAATACGTCTAAGCAACAAGAAGCTGATACGCACGCCGAAAGTATATTTAATCATTAAATCCAATAGTATTCACTTAGTAGTACTTTAAGTATCATGTGTGCAAGGTGTCTTTGTCTATTTCGTTTGTTTGTTCTTAGTACTTTGCTGACGACGGTTGGGAGCCGGATTATCAGAAATGTATGTCAGTCAACAAACTCAAAAGACCCTACGGCAAAGGCAAACAATCCATAAATAATTTGTTGAATTATAAAAAAAAAACAATTACAATAATACACGAATTTCTAAAAAATGGCGTTTTTGTGTTTGTTTTTTGCATTGATGCTCTCCAAATTGCTGTTAAAAGCATTGATAATTGTAAAGAAACTCGACAGTTTTCATACCTTTGTAAGATTAATTAACTTCTTCAATATACCCAACTCTGCTATGGCATTTTTTAGCTCTACTCAAATGATACTTTAAAATGTCTGCTTACAATCTATAAGAACTTCTTCTTTATGTGCCGTCTTCTACTGAAGGTTGGCGACCATCAAACGATAGGTTTCTCTGTTTTGTGTCGCATGTATTATGTTCGTAGCTTCTGGTATTTGAAAACGTTCTTTCAAGTATCTCATTCAGGATTTCTTCTTTCTGCCCAAACCTCTTCTAGCTTCAATCTTGCCTTCCACGATAAGCTGTAGCAGACTTTACTTATCATTACGGAACACATGGCCGAGGTATGACGCTTTCCTCCTTTTAACAGTTGTTAACAATTCCACCTCTTTACCCATTCGTCTTAATACCTCTGTGTTGATCACTGTAAGAACTGGTACAATGTTTTGTTGTATTTCCAACATCTCTATATTAACTGCTTAGTCGTGAAGATTTGATATACTGTTAATCGATTTGTCCTAAATTCACGCCAATAATCTCCTATTTGATATTCCATACACTCATTAAATTGTTCCAATATCATTAGATATCGTCTTCTGACGTTATTTCCACAATTGGTAACACTGCTCCTGAGTGATTCTTTCCTCAGGATAGGCTTACTACTTTTTTCAAATTTGTCCATGGGCTGATAAGAAGAATGTACCATTTTGCCCTCTATTTTTTAAACATTCTGGAGATACGATGTGATTTCCTGGTGCTTTGTTGTTTTTAATTTAAGGATAGCTCTTGATAATTTTCCACTGTAGGTTATACTAAGGGTTTGGTGGTAAGATACACATATTCTCGCTTTGTTTCATCTACCTAAACAATTAGCAACCCGGCAGCAAAGAATCTTCATTTTAGCCTCATCCGTAACCAGGTTACCTTGGTCATTTTTTATGACAGTTTTAAATCATTATTTAAAGCAGTTTTATTAATCTGTTGCATTTTTATAAAATACATTTTATTTTGTTCAAAAATTTACTAATAACACTTTGTTCTAGGCTATATTGGTTTCAAAAAATGCTGGAGCTACTGTTCTTCTACACTATTCTGCGAATATATTTTCCGTATATTTACAACTGGACTTATAAATTATTTCAATAAATTTAGTATTAAATGTGCATACAATGTATTACTCCCTTAACAAATAAAATATATGTTTATTTTTCTACTTAATTTTTTAATAAACGTGATAACAGATTGATATTTGACGCAGATTCACACATGCATTTAAAACTTTTCCGACATATATAGGTGGGTATATTGTGTCGTATAACAATAATTTTAACTTCTGAAAAATATTTTAGAGTAATACAAGTAAAGGAAGATGTAATATCTAAACACGACTTATTTAATATTCACAAAAAACTAAAAGAAATGAGTAACATATTAAAAAATGAGTTCTCTCTGTACTCGTTGACAATAATAACAAAATTATTGTAAATGATCAGGAAATAAGAAAAGAATGCTAAAATTACAAAAACTTGTGGTCCAGTTGATACACCACCTGAGTTGCTGAAACTAATATAGGATGATAAAAGTAGTAGTAAGACTTTTTAATTCAATAGATAACATCGGAATGATTCCCACAGATTGGCTCTAATCCATCTTTGTTGCAATATCTACAAAACACAGTGCAAGAAAATGCTCAGAATATCAATTAATTAGTCTAATGAGCCACACTCTTAACATTTTCCTAAGAATTTACTAAAATCTAATTCACAACAGAATTAGACGTAAATGCGAATAAGATCTTGAAGATACCCAATTTGGTTTTAGAAATGCTGTGGGAACCAGGGAGTGACATTTTGCGCTTAACATCCTATTACAAAAATGCCGTGACCAAAGAAAAGATGTATTTGCATGTCTCGTGGACTTCGAAAAGGCATTAGATAAAGTAAAGCATGTAAATTAAATGCAAATACTAAAAAATATTAGAATAGATGACAAGGATATTCGTGTCATTAAACATTTGTACTGGAATCAAACTACTATCGTAAAAATTAGACATAACTACACCGATTCAATCTCCACACAACGAGGAGTCAGACAAGGTTGCATTTTGTCGCCAACATTGTTCAATGTTTACTCGGACCAGTTATTTAAAAAGGCACTTGAGAGACAACCATATGGAATAAAAATCAACGGGGAACTACTTAGGGCCGGTTCTACATTCCGGGTATAAATTGGAGAATAGTTATTCTGAGTATAACTTATACTTGAGTTTATTCCAAGTATAACCTTTCGGGCGTTCTACATTGTGAAATCGACAGCGGAATAGTTATTCTGGGTATAACCACAGAACACTAAGGTAAAACGAAATAGTAGATCTGATATCTTCAAAATTAGTTCAAATTGTTATTGACAGCGACATTTGGCATTTGTCATAACTGTAAAATTTGTTTACAATTGAAAGGAATTGAATAATTGATTCGCTTTATCTGGTATTTTATCTACGTTTATATTATTATACTGTACAAAATTAATATAAAATGGATAAAAAAAGATGTAAAATTTCCTTCTTAAATTTTTTATTATTATCAACTGAGATTAGTGTTATAATATAATATCCAAAATTATGTAAATATATCTATATAGGTACTCCACATTTTAAACAAGTATAAATATTGGATTACAAAATATATAATTTTAGTTAAAGAAATGTTTATATAATACAGATTCTAGAATTACAGTCTCTGTTATCAAAACATTAAAAAATATATTGCCTTGGTAAGATTATACCTATACTATATTAGTCATATGTGTAGACCTTATTACATTACATACATATCCTAAAATTTTAGAATTGAAATAATGAATGCTTTCTTTCTCTTTTGGATTGCCTAATAAAATTTCCTTTGGATTTACAATCTAAAATGTTTGTGCAATATCAAAAATTTTATTTTGTATATAAAAACAAAGTGAGGTTAAAATATTACAGATTTGACAACCCCTGACCGACCAATAGAAATGCAGTATAAATTTATACTCGGTATATCTGCTAAACTTTGGAGGGATAAAGTTATTCTACAGATATACTCTGATTATCTTATTCCTAGTTTATTCTTTGTTTGTAGAACACCATTAATGAAGTTATTCCAAGTATAACTTTATTCTCAGTATATACTAGCATTGTAGAACCGGCCCTTAATGTGATTAGAATTGCAGACGATACAGTGATTTTGTCATATAACATTGAAGGTCTCCAAATTCTGCTTGATCGTATTCACGGGGTAGGGGATGAATTATGCATTAAAATAAACTCAAACAAAACCAAATTTTTAGTGTCTAGTAGTGACCCACATCCCGATGCAAAGCTTTAATTAAACGAAGTCCAAGTTGAAAAAGTTCACAAAATGACATATTTGGGAATTGTGATAACGAACCAACTAGATCCAGACATAGAAATAAACCGTAAAATAGCTACTAATAATAACTAAAACTACTTTTATGAAAATGAAGTCATTTCTTTGCAATAATCGTCTCTGTTTAAAACTAAGACAAAGAATGGTTAAGTGCTATGTTTGGTCCATACTTTTGTATAGTGCAGAAATGTGGACGATAAATGGTGATCGCCAACGTTGGATTATTCTGATATGGCACGCGAAGAAGAAGAAAAAAAGCATATTTTGAAAAAAATTGACTCATTTATCCCAGTCCGAACTATCTAGTTAATATAGTAATTATTTATTTTTTACGTTTGGTCAAATTTGACCTCGACTGACAGTTGTAGAAAGTGTAAGGTCAATTATACATAATAAAACTTATTTACAGTAAAATGCCGAAATCAGTCACAGATCCCTATGATCAATCATCATAAAATTTATTATAAATATTTGTACAATTTAACAACTAATTTTGGAGTTTCGAACTTTAGTATATTAATGTTTTATTCCCAAAATGACAGTTAAAATTTTGGTGAGAGCGATTTTGCCAGTTTAAAATTTGGCGGAAGCGCCAGTGTAATTTTTGAAAATTTGAACAACATTTACTAGATGCCCCGATAATGGTATTGTATAATTAATAGCGCACCTAGTAGGAACTGGCTATTAATCATAAAATAATCTGGCTCATAATTATTAAATATAAACTGTTTAAAAATAAATAGAATGCATAAACAAATATTATATTAGCGGTGTATTTTAAATGATTTATATTCTAATTCCACTTTACATAATATTTACATCATAAATTTAATATCTTAGCTACGACATCTATCCATCTATATCCAAACTAGTTTTGAACCAAATTAATTTCAAGTTTGAACATTACTCCCGAGATGTAACACAACGGTAACAGATATAATAATTAACAAAATTCAGCAATTCGACAAACAATTGACGGATCCCTCTTATTCTATAGATGACACAAATAAAATAATGAATAATGCTAATAGCTAAACTGAAATAAAATACTTTATTAAATAAAATTATTTTTTTACTTATAATAGTTTATTTACGTTTTTTAAAGCGCATAAAATGATTTACATGTTACCTGTTTTGTCGTGGTCAAATTTGACCTCGACTGACAGTTGTAGAAAGTGTAGAAAGGTCAACGTTACATAATAAAACTTATTTACAGTAAAATGCCGAAATCAGTCACAGATCCCTATGATCAATCATCATAAAATTTATTATAAATATTTGTACAATTTAACAACTAATTTTGGAGTTTCGAACTTTAGTATATTAATGTTTTATTCCCAAAATGACAGTTAAAATTTTGGTGAGAGCGATTTTGCAAGGTTAAAATTTGGCGGAAGCGCCAGTGTAATTTTTGAAAATTTTAACAAGATGCCCCGATAATGGTATTGTATGATTAATAGCGCAGCTAGTAGGAACTGGTTATTAATCATAAAATAATCTGGCTCATAATTATTAAATATAAACTGTTTAAAAATAAATAGAATGCATAAACAAATATTATATTAGCGGTGTATTTTAAATGATTTATATTCTAATTTCGCTTTACATAATATTTACATCATAAATTTAATATCTTAGCTACGACATCTATCCATCTATATCCAAACTAGTTTTGAATTAAATTAATTTCAAGTTTGAACATTACTTCCGAGATGTAACACAACGGTAACAGATATAATAATTAACAAAATTCAGCAATTCGACAAACAAGGAAATATAACTAAAATGAAATAAAATACTTTATTAAATAAAATTATTTTTTTACATATAATAGTTTATTTACGATTTTTAAAGCGCATAAAATGATTTACCCTATTTTTTACACAACCAATGACATATTAAGTGTATTAGCAACAGTTCTGTTTCATTTATAAAAAGTTCAGCATTCGCCAAAATTTACACTGTCAAAAACGCTCTTGCCAAAATTTTGACTGTCATTTTTGTAAAATGGTCTGACTGTCATTTTTGTAAAGTTTACTTTGCATACTCGATTCACTGATCCCAGTCAAAAGTATCTAGTAAATTTTGTATACTTGGTTCGCCGGTTCGCTGATCTCTGGACCAACTGCCTGGTAAATTTAGTAATTATTAGAAACTGTGTTGGTTACGTTTTGACTAACTGTCGCAGGAAGTGACTATATAACCAAGAATTCTTCTTCTTTTTATGGTGCCCTATCCACTTAGTAGATGTTGGCAGCAATTCTGGCATACTCCTCTTGATCTTGTGTGCCTCTTAAGAGGGCATAGGCATCGATGTTTGTCCAATCCCTTATGTTTATAAGCCATAAGTATTTCTTTTTTCCGATGCCCCGTTTTTCTTCTATCTTTTCTTACATAATAAGCTTTAGGAACTGGTACTTGCAATATTGAAATATATTACCCAGATAAGCAGTTTTTCTTTTTTTTTTATTATTGGCAGCAATTCTCGTTCTCTGCCCAATTGATTTAATACTTCGACATTTTTTGTGTGATCTGTCCAGGGAATTTTAAGTAGTCTTCTAAATACCCACATTTCAAAGGCCTCTAATCGATTCAACACATTGGGCTTTATGGTCCAGGTTTCTACAGCATAAAGCATTATGGAGTAAATGTAACATTTTACAAAGCGATATCGAAGCGTTAAGTTCAGGCTGCTGTTGCTTAGCAAGGTTCTCATATTAGTAAATGCTGTTTTGGATTGCTCAATTCTGCTACGTATCTCTATGTCTGGATTTAGATCTTTAGCTATCCAACTACCGAAATATCT